CTCTGGCGGGTTCAAGACCTGTGCAAGGCAAGGGCATGCAACACCTGAAATTGCCTCACCTCCATCATGAAATGGCTCCCTGATGCCTCAGCCAACCAGAAAAACAGGGGGGTGAATAATAACTAAAAATAAATTAAAAAATATTAAGCAGTACTAGTTTGCACACCTACTGTGTTTAAGACCTCAACTTCACCTTAAGCTTGTCTCATTTCTACAAGAGCAGGAAAAACTACAAAGGCAATTTACCTTTGAAAATAGAAAACGTAACCAACGTTATACCTTTTTGGTAGGTGACAGCACGTAAGCTATTCTACCTAGACAAATCTAGAATGCTGTAACATTGTTACTGGTATTTAATACTTTTCTCCTTCAACATCACAATCACTATTGATCCTTTTTGCCATAATTCTCCCATTTTTCCCATGTTTTCTTTCTTTCTGCAGTATCCCTTCTTCCTCTCTTCTCTTTCTCTAGTATTACTGCCTTACTTGTCTTCACAGCACCCTAACACTGTTACCTTTTCAAGCAATTGCGTTAGTCTTTGCATAAAATTAATCTCTCAGACTTTTCTGAGACATCATTAAGACATGCAGCTAACTCCCGAAGACCTGAACTGGAAGAAAGAAAACAGAACCCCAGTGGGTTTTCCCTGGGTTTGCTAATTTTCCTCACAAGAACAACTCAGAAGCAAACCTTTACTCTTACCATTCTTAGATGTCAGCTCCTTGCATTACAAAACCATTTATTTTTTTTTTTAAATAGGTAAATAATTGGATGAGGGAGAAAATAAAAGGAGCAGTATTTCCCATTGCAAAACCTCTGTTGACAGCTACTGGAAACAACCTGGTTTATTTTACCAACCTTGTGATGTCAGGTTCACTTAGCACACGCCTTGTCAGCTCCAACTGAGGGGCACGCTAACTGCATAACCGATGCACACGGCCGCGACCGGGGAGCAAATGCACAGCTGCTCACTGCTTTTGTTTGCCTTCACATGAAGGATTTTTGAGAAATTGTATAATACTACAGCAGACTGGTCCTTGCCCCAGGTGTAACGAGTTCTTCCTTTCTCATTGAGTTTGGCAGAGCACATTAATTTCATTATAATCTATAACAAAAAAAAAAAATAAACAGCAAGCATTAAAAAGGAAAAAATAACATTTAATTTTGAGGGGAAAATAAAGGATATGCTAAGGAACTGCTGTGACCAAGAGATTCTGCTCTAGAAACAAAAGCAAATTCTCAAGTGAAAAAGATAACAGAGATACTGCTGCTTTTGTAACTCTTGGTAACAGCCAAAATAATCCAAGGCTAGTGGGAAAGAGCATGGATTTTCAAAACAAACAAAACCACAGTGTCATATCCATACCTCTTCAGACCAGTATCATAAACTATGAAGACAGCTGAATTACAAATAAAGGTTTTTCTTTTTCATTTTCTTTTGCATCAGCCAAAGGTAGTTATGATCAATACTAACAACACATAATCTTACAGACAAAGGTTATCACTGTAGCAGTTAGAAGAAAATATGAACTAAACATGTAATGACAGAAAATTAAGAAAGCAGAGTGACTTGAATATGGACATGTGTAGAGGGGGAAAAAAAAACCCACCAAACACCTTCCCAGCATAAGTTTTCATGGTTTACCAGAAAGTATGTGTTTGTGACATGAATACAGGGCAAGCATTAGAATATGAAGAGCAGCAACAATCTCACACCATCAAGGGGGCAGGTGAAGCATTCTAATATCATTCATTTTTCTCCACATAACAAATTTCTTTGGTTTTATGTTTCTTTACCTCATCAGAAAAAGGTTACTATGCGAGATAAAGATGCCAAATGTACATAAACCTTGAGTCAAAAGAATGTTAGAATCCTCTCTTTGAATGAAATTATTATATGGATCTATTAAGTCTAAATTAAAACCTTCCAGTCTGATTTCTACCTCAGTTTTCTAGGGGTGCTCATGCCACAATTCACATCCAACTCTGTCCATGCAGGACTGCGCTCCTGTTACTTTAGTTCAGCGTTTCAGATACCTGCTTTTTCTGTGACAAGTACTTCTCTTTTTTGCCCAAAGAAGGATGTTACAGAGGTAATCAGATCTTTGGTCAGGAAGAAAGCTGCTTGCCTGCTTGTACAGATAGATATCCATTCTGAATCAACTAGCCCAGAGAGATCTGGTTTGCCACTTGGTGGCAAATCAGGGCTAGGAGAGGGAACAACAATAACAAAAACCCCAAACCAAAACAAACAAAAAACCCCACCCAAACCTCAAACCCCTCTTCAACCACCTCCCCGCCCCTGCCCCCCCCCCCAAAAAAATCCTGCACCACCACAAAAAAACCCAAGACATATGATTTAAATGAAGCACAGGCTAAGGGAGATCCCTGCTGGCAAGGCAACGAAATACACAGTCACCATTTCCAAACACATCGTTCACCCGCTACCACAAATAATTTCTTCCACATCCGAATGCCAAAACCATTACACATTTACCTTGCATTCAATTTGGCACCAGCCTTTTCCTCCTACAGACAGCACTGCCCCACCCGCACAGCACAAGAGCAGCTGTTTGGTGGGGCAAAGGGGGAATTCAGTCTCCATTTCACCATGTTTATCAAAGATAAAAATTCCCAGCATACTTGAATTATCATTCTGGTCAAGCAAGGCTGATGGATCCATTTCTACAGGTTCATCTATTGCAGAAGAGTGGGAAAATGGGACCCAGTTGGTTTCCCACTTACTGACATCGAGCATTTTTTCTACCACGACGGGCATTAGATATCATCCCACTTAGGCAATACTTGTATCAGGCAAATTATATATCTCACCTACTCATTGTAATTAGTGATACCACATTTAACAATTTTGTATCCAGCCAATACTGGATACTTGTGTATTGAAAAGACGAAAGAACAAAATAAAACAACAGATCTTCTCTCAGCTTTTCTGTACATTACATTAAACAACTACTGCAAAACTTCAACACCTACAAATTTTGAGACACAAAACAGAAGTAATTCTTAACTATGGTGGACTATCATAAAGACACTCATTCACCTGGGGGCAAACTAAGCTCAGAAAAATGTTAAGAACTGGATGAGAGAGACATTAACTTCCAGACCAAGAAAAGGACTAAGCAAAGAAAGCAAGAGGGAGTAAAAATGAATACCCAATGAAGGAAAACGTATTTTACAGGACATTGACATTATGAAGATTTTCCTCTTACAAATGACATGCTTGAGAGCAACAGACATTTCCAGTGGCTCGGAAAACAAATTTAATTGACACTTAGAATGAAGGAAAGCATACAGGTTTGGTTTTTTTAAAAAGAAAATTTATTACAAATCTGTAGGTTTAAGAAAATATCAAAAACTGTCAAAGTAGTATGAAAAATGTTGTCATCCTATTCACAGTTACCAGTTTCCTCCAATAAACATAGCATACAAAAACTGATAGAAACCATGGCAATTCTTTTTGGTGACACAAGTCAGATATTTATAATTCTAAATCCCCTGCTGACAACTAAGATGCTGCTGGCAGCCCAAGGGAACAATTAAATTGCACTGTTCTTGAAAACTGGAAGTTTGGATGAAAAGGCTATATACATATACACATGCTGTGTTTTACCACATGCACAGGTAACTCAGGGCAAACAAAACATGGCCCAGCACAATACTTAAAGTCTATAAAAACCTAGAGAGTCAAGGAATGTGTCTATATGGTATTAAGTTATTTGCTATGATCTGTTCCCATTTTCTTTTACATCCCAAACCTAATAAAGACCAATTGTTTTCCACTCTCATTTACAGAAAGAGTGAAGCTGATGTGCTGCTATACTGTCTTTTCAGAAACAGAAAATGTTAGCTGGCTGCATGCAGGCAAGTGATCTAAAATGTAATGCAGTTAAAACATAATATAATTTCAAGTGGGATTTTTAGAAGACTGTAGTCTGAATTTACTGCAAGTGACCTAAGACCTTAAGGTCTCCTGAAAAAACGAGGCTAATGTGGCATTTCTAATGTCATTCACAGATAATGCGTAAGATACATGAATGAGGAAAAGAACTGTCTGATACATGTTACATTCCTAAACTGCAGTACAGTCTGCTTTAACAAAGCAGAGAGTTTGCAAGTATGCCGTGGATTAAATCCAAACCTGCCCTACAACTCTAACTCTGGGTAACTGGATGCAATGGTTGGAAAGCTGCAGCATAGACCATTTGTAACCATATTCTCAAATCCTTTAAACTGCACAGGACTTAAACGGCACAACTCAGAGAGAGAGTGTAGAAGAGGCTTCAATGTAAGAAGTGTACTTAAACGGCACAACTCAGAGAGAGAGAAACGCCACAACTCAGAGAGAGAATGTAGAAGAGGCTTCAATGTAAGAAGGTTTTGAAGGAGCAGGATGAAACATTTCTGTTACAATACTTGCTTCTAAAAATACTTGCTTCTCTTTCTAAAAGAGAAAGAAAAAAGAAAAAATACTCCAAACACCTCTGCGTAGTTTAACTCTGTTTTTCTCAGGTGCTGGAAGGTCCTTTGACAGAGGATATTTGGGATTTCCAAATGATCAATCCTGCTTTTGCCAACAGCAACTTGGAAGAAACCAGCATCATGTTAAAAAACTACTCAGTGCATTTCCTTTATTTTGCTGTTTCAACTTAAGTTGAAAAGCACAGAATCAAGAGTTATTCAAAGAACAATATGCTGCAGAAGAGCAATTTGAAATCACGCGCCTCTCATCACCACAGCAAACAGGATGGAAGATGCAGAACGGAATTTACAATAATTTCCTTCCCCATGCAGACCAGATTGACCCTAGATTAATCAGAGCTACTGGAACATTTCTTAAAAGCCTGGAACATTTCTTAAAAGTTGGTAAGGAGGTTGCCTCATTCTCCTGCATTTACTAAAAACTTGATTCCTGAAACACTATAATGAAACAGTCAAAAATCTTCAATCCAAAGAAAGAAAATATTTCATGTACATTCTTAGGCATGAACCTTCAGGCTTGGGAAACGTTTTTCTAGATGGCCAGCAAGTGTCTGATCAGCCTCACGCAGAACTTCAAGGAAACTCTCCACCTGGAAATAAATTGCAAACACACACACACAAAAAGAAAAAAAAATAAAAAACAAAACCCCAAAACTTTCACAGAGCACAGAATTATTATACTTGGTATAGGGGGTCTTCCTACTCCTTTACCTTCCCACCAAAGGCAGCCACCAGCAGCCACTGCAAAGAATAATGGAAAATGCTCCACAGTAGATACCTTCCTCCTAAACTCCACAATTTTAGTTCGTCTAACTTTTGAAACATTATCGCCTTCCCCAAACTCTTGCTTTATTGTTTAGAAGTACACAAAGAAAAGCTACCTATGAAAAATATTTAGAATAATTATTCTATAAAAATGTACAGGACAAATTTTCAGCTAGCAAAAAACTGCAGACATCCACTAATTTCAGCACAGTTTGACCCCTATATCAGCGAATGATCTAGGCAAAGTTCTGGCTGAAGTAACCCAGAAGAGACACAGAGGGTGAGACTGTCGAGAGTTGCAAATTACCTGTGTCTGAGCAACTCTGTCCTACTTCTACATCTGATTCTGAAAGGCCTTGCCACCTGAGTAGTACTTTTTCAGCTATGTTAAAGACTGTGTCGTGTACTCACTGATGCAAAATACAGAGGTAAGAGGTTCTGAAATGCACAGGAACATGTCTGTTCATTTAAATATCCCTGGTGTAGTCCTTCTAAGGTATTTTCCTGGAAAATAAAATGAGAAATATAACTAGCATGTCATGAACAAACTCACGTCGAAAGAACAAACTCAAAATTGTGCACACAGTGTCTACAGCATGCGCTTCATTCTCAAAACCAGGTAAAACAACCACAACTCACAGTTCTCAGAGGATGCCAGATGTAACTAATACAAAAAGGTGTGATAGCTCACACACCACGTCTCTTAATCTGAATGCTCCCAGTATAAAGAAGTCCAGCTGAGAAGGTGAGTTTATATATTCACACTCTTTCCTTATCTTAAATAAATTGGCTTTCATTCAAAAGAAATAGTGACATAGACCTTGAGAATTTATCACACAGATTCTTGACCCTGAAGGCATACAGCTGAGAAAACCTGTGTCCCTGCCACCTAACACACGTGTTGCTACTCACCTTCTGACTGATTGTCTAATGAATTTCCAGTATGCAACTTCACTTGCCCAGAAAAACACCCACATTAACAGTAACATCTTTTTTCTTACCTATCCTGCAGAAGTCCCTCTTAAAATTTTGTTTGTTCTTACCTTGGTCAATTCTTGAAGCATATTGGAAAGTAATTCACAGCAAATATCCTTCAAAATTTTTAAATGGAAATCTTCCTCGTTTAGATCAGCCCTTCCAGTCTCTTGTTGTTCAGACTCCTTTGAGTTATCTACAGATCTTTTCCCACAGTCCTCCATGTATTGCAAGATACGAATCAAGCTCCCAATCAGAGGCATATCTAATATAAAGTAACAAGAAAATATAAGTTTAACACTCAAAATTTTTCCCCATCCTTTCAAGGCTTTAGAATTTTGAAACACACCACAAGATTTTATATAAAAGCTATAGGAATGTATATTCTGACAGTGTTGTATTTTATCAAAAACTGTTTTCAAGAAGCAAGTGGAAATGTAGTAGAAAACCCAAACCATGTTTTCTGCAAGCTAACCTGTATCCATAAAAAGTATATGCCAGTGGTAAGGAATATGAAAGGGAAAATGTCTCTAGAAGTAACTCAGAGAGGCTAGTATGTTCAATTTGCATCCAGATAATCCTATCTGATAAACCAAACCGTCTTTCTGCTGCACATGACCGTGACTTACATTCCCAAGATAGGCTTTTAATTCTAAAGACTTGTCAATGGACTGAAAAGTAACAAGTGATAAAGATGGATTTAAGTAAGTGCAGAATCTCCCTCTACTAAAAAAAAAAAATACTACTATCAAGACATATTTTAGCAAAGATGAATTCTGCAATTTTCATTAATTTACCCAGCGGAGAAGACTGAACAGAATCTGTGGATTCTATTACTGTAACTCTTCAGAGGTATCCAGTAACCGAACTTTAAGCCAGCTATGATTTTTAGTGTCACCAGTAAAGAGCCTTACTGTATTCAAACATGTAACTGAATTCTGTGTTCTGAACTGATCTCTAGTAAACTGTAATAAATTAACCATCTTTCACCCCACGTACATCAAGACAATTGTGAAAATAACTTTAAAAAAAAAAAACCAACAAAACAAAACAGAAAAAAGCATGACTTGCTTTTCCTCATCTTGGTGTATTCTTGTTCTGTCTGTGAAGCAAACATAGCAGACAGCACGGACAAAATAGAGGCTAATACAGTCTTCTGCTCCTGCACAATGATTGGTGGATCATCTGGCTGGCAAAGTTCATGGCAAACGAGGTCATAAAGCAAACTCCAAGTCTCTTTTCCCCCATCAGGAGCCTGCACTTGAGAAAGAAAGAAAAAGAACCCACCAACCCATCAAATTTAATCTAGGTACATTAATTATTTTTCTCCCCATTAAATATCTGATGAACGAGAAGTTACTGCCATTCTTGATCCTATCATATGCAGCAATTCAAGTGTCTTACCGATAGCCTGAATACCCTCATCCACCGTGGTCAGGAGCTGCAAAATATGCATATAAACATCAAGTCCTTCCGGATTATCTGATCTACACAGAACAAACAACAAACAAAGAGAAATTAAAGATCTGATTGCCGAGTTTACATTCTGTGTGTTTTCTTTGCTAATGAACCAGTTGACTCATTTCAAATGGTAAATACAGGGAAATGTATTCTAGTGATCTGCCAAACTATGCAGCTCCCACTGAAATAAAGATGTTCAGACACAGGCCTTAACAGGGTTATGAGGAGTCTCCCCCAGCCATGAAACCCAGAAGAAATCTCACATACCGGACTTGCTTCGCTGCTTCAAGTATACAAGGCACAATCTTAAAATCTGGAAGTTCTTCAGGGGAATCATCTACAGATGGTCCCACAGACCGACAAGTGCCATTTTTAATCCAGTTTAACATTAGTTCTTCATCTAGATCAAAGAGTTTGTCCACCACTTCACCCACTTTTACCAGCAATTCCACTGCATAAGAGAGAATGTATAAATTTCAACAAAACTAAAAACAAAGAGCAAAAATTAGCTCAAAAAATGCGAATTTATAATAGCATTCTGAGTAAATTCAGTGCTGAAATATATTAGTTTTGTTCACTCCCTACTAAAGGCTACTATTTTTATTTCCTTTTTGTGGCACAGATGAGATGAAGAGTTGGATAAATAGGGAGTGTTGGAAAGCCCACAGACACCTTCTACCTTACCATGCCATTTATAAAGCAGGCACTTTATTCTGCAAACAGACCAGGCTACTGAAAAGTCAAAACTCCTGCTTCTGAAGTAAGATTTTCCAAGATTTGTCCCCAAATATGCAGTTTTCTGCTAACCTTACACCTCCCAATCTGCATTTTACTTAAGTAGATCTGTGATTTCAATTGGACAGAGCAATTGTCAATTTCTGAGCATTGTCATTAATAAGAAAAAAAAAAACACAAAACCCAAACTGAAAAGCTAAATTATTAGGATTCCTAGAAAAATGATAACTGCTGTTACAATTGAGTTGGATGTGAAAAATAAATGCTATTCAAAATACTTCCATGATTAGGTGCTTAGCATGGTTTTTGCAACATTAGTGCTAAGATAGATTTGTGTACCACTGACTGCATACCCAAAACCTGTGCAGTATTCTGCTGCCATTCAAAGTTAACTGAATCATTCCTCAAGTATGGTAGTTTTAAAAATGGAAAATACATACCCGATTTGAAAAAAAATTTAAATGAGGTCTAATTTCAAGGATCAAAAATTACACATGTACATCCCTGAATGAGGACTACGTCCTTTCCCTTACTGTGCCAAATAACAATTTCTTCTATTGGACTTATTTTTATTCCCCCATAGAGCTTTCTTCTTCATCTATGAGTGCTTTTCTGGTTGGTTTTACACATAGTTATAATCCCGCAAACGCAAAACAAGTTTATTTTGGTGTCCTTTAAATTAATGAAATTTACTTTATTTTAAAGAAATTCTGTACTCCCAATTGAAAATATTTGTAGTTGAAACTGCATACTCCAGTTCTTATTTTTTTTCTGCAAATACCCAATAATTCACAGCTTGTTTTGGCAACTTACCATTTGTAGAGCTGGACATGATAAAGCAAACACAGTCATAAACGGAAGGGTTTTCTCGGATTCTCTCAACCCAGACATTGGCCACCTCAGGCTGGGAGAGGCAAGTTAACAACAACCTAGACAAGAATTGCCCATTTAACAAATTAGAAGCCAATTCACCAATTTTAGCTGTACAAGTGTAAATCCAAACCAATGAGAAAAATGTGGCAGAAACAGGAATATAGCTTACAGCAAATCAATTCCAGAACAATGCGGAAATGACAAAGAGATAGGATGAGAGGATAATAAAATAGTGAGCCTACTTGTCAATTATCTTCCCAGGCCTCAGAACATAGTAGAACTACACTAATGATGTGTTAGTTTCTGAGATGTCCTACCTGCTTGTTTCCAGAAGAGTTGGAGAGTCTGAATCACACAAACGTTGCAGTAACACTTGCCTTTAAGAAGAAAATGAAAGATTAGATTAATAAATCATAGAATCATAGAATGGTTTGGGCTGCAAGGGACCTTTAAAGGTCATCTAGTCCAAACCCCCTGCAGTAAGCAGGGACATCTTCAACTAGATCAGGTTGCTGAAAGCCTCATCCAAACTGACTTTGAATGTTTCCAGGGATGGGGCATCTACCACCTCTCTGGGCAACCTGTCCCAGTGCCTCACCACCCTCATAGTGAAAAATTTCTTCCTTA